TGTATTTACGATATCATCTTTTAATATTTATATATATTTTTTATGTTATTCCTAACACTTGATGGATAAATGTTGTTATTGTTAACTAAAACAAATAAAAAAAATAGTTCTATGTTATTGAACCCCCCTCCCCCCGGAAATTCAATATAATTTAAGTTGAAGATGAGAAATGTAACAAAATTACATAAAGTGGTAAGTATACTGAAACAACTCTGGATGGTTACCCCACATGACATTTTAGAGACATGAATCTAAAATCGTTGATGGTATAAATTATACAAATGTTTTTAAAAATGTATGAAACCATCAAGAATACATTTTTAAAAACATGGTACGTGATTTTTATATATATAAAAAATTTTTTTTTTTATTACTCTTCATGTTGGACACACTTATTTATTCTATTCGCACACATGCAGCTCAACCAATTCAAGTTCTAGCAGATCATTCGTCAGGTCATGATGACTGTGCTAATGAATCAGCAAGTGTGTTAGGAGCTGTAAGAGGATGTCACCTCAATGGTCATGAGAGCGGTGCGGCTCAGGAAGTGTCTCCGGCAGTAAGCCATCTCAGCACGCATTCCCTCGCTCCGAGAGCTCTTCCATCTGTGAACAGTAACTTCATTACAATGATTTCACTTCCTTTCTACACATACTGCCATACAGTACTGTTCTGTTGAACGTGTGATTACCCAAGATAAGCACTGTAGATGGTCATGTGATCGGAGTTTGCGACTGCTAGGGCAGATTTAGCCAGGTTGGCCTCCTCCTTTCTGCTCATAGGTGTAACAAAGGGGGACTTCTCAGACATGGCCGCTGCGATGGTAGCCTGAATAGTAAAAACAAACAAAAGTTGTTCAATACATCCTTCAATAATATTCCACAGAAGAAAGAAAGTCTAACATGCTTGGAACAACATGAGGGTAAGAAATGATGACAGAAATTGAGTAACATGCTGCAAAAAAACGCTCACAATGGTTTCCAGGCAGCTAAAGATGGCGCCAAAGATGAGCATTTTGCCGATCTTGACGTTGACAGGAAGGGCGGCCAAGTGATGGCCGAGTGGCGTGAGGGCGTAGCTATCTTGCTTGCAGGCGCCGATCTTCCTCAGCAGACTGACAGCGTTACACACGGCCTGCTGCTGAGGCGCATCGAGAGCTCGACACAGGAAATCCTCTGGAGAACCATATTCACACTTCTGTTCACACATAGAGAGAGGTGACAGAAGTCAGTGTATTATTAACGGAAAAGATGCTTTATGCGCACTACTTCAGAAGTCTGAGGTCAGACTTTTTTTAATTGACTACAAGTGACTGCAAATGCTTTAATAATATTAGAAAAGATTTCTATTTCAAGTAAATGCTGTTCTTTCGAACTTCCTATTCATCAAAAAAAAATCATGATCATGATTTTCACACAAATATAAAGCAGTGCAACGGTTTTCAACATTGATAATAATCAGAAGTGTTTCTTGTGCAGCAAATCAGCATATTAGACTGATTTCTGAAGACTCATGTGACACTGAAGACTATGATGCCGAAAATTCACTGGAATAAATTGCATTTTAAAATATATTCAAATAGAAAACAGTTAAATTGTAATAAAATTTCACAATATTACGTTTTTTACTGTTTTTGATCAAATAAATACAACCTTGGTGAGACTTCTCTCAAAAACATTAAAATATCTTATCGACCACAAACTTTAACAGTTAAAGGGATAGTTCACCAAAAAATGAAAATTCTGTCATTAATTACTCGCCCTCATGTCGTTCCAAACCTTTAAGACCTACGTTCATCTTCGGAACACAAATGAAGATATTTTTGATGAAATCCGAGAGCTCTCTGAACACGAGTAATTAATGACAGAATTTACATTTTTGGGTGAACTATCCCTTTAAGTAGTTTCAAAACACAAAGTTGGTACTTAACATAATATGAAGGCAAAGCTCCTCCAAAGGCACTCTGAGAATCTCCGGAATGGAGTAGTCAATGAAGCTCTCAAATCTGTTGTGGGAAACAGACATGTGTGGAATGACAGTATATACATTATACATATATAACATATATAAATCAGAATTTATAATATTAGTCTTACTGTTTTGAGACTTTTGCTTTAAGTAGTGCATAATGTGAAGCTGTTTTGGCATGTGTCTGGGTTAAGTAATATTAAAAGATACAACTTTTAATTTGAATAATGTATGAGCAAAAATTCTAATGAACAAACTATGATTAATAAATGCTTTAGAAGTATCACTGTTAACTCATGGTAACTGATGTAGATAACTAATTTTAACAAATGAAATGTACTCATATTAATATTCCCCCTAAAGTATCTTTGGCTGGATATCGCCAAACAAAACAGACCAGCAAATGAAACTTTGGTACTCTATGGGCCACAATCTCTAAAGCATCTCAGTGGTGTTGTACCTGAATTTGGGATAAAGGCGGAAACAGAAGCCCTCTTGAACACGTCCAGCTCTCCCCTGCCTCTGCAGAGCACTGGCTTTACTCACAAACGTCTCCACCAGAGAGTTCATCTGACTGCTTTCATGATATCTGAAACCACAAACCACAAGCAAGATAAGTGCTAACATTCAAAACCATCAGACTGCAGACAGATAATATATCAGATATGTTCTGGCCCGGCTCACCGATTCTCTTTAGTTTTTCCTGTGTCGATGAGGAAGACCACGTCAGGAATGGTGACGCCAGTCTCAGCGATGTTTGTAGACAGAACGATCTTCAGGAGAATATGAAGATGTGAGAATAGTATGTACATATTACATACTGGAGAAATAGGAAGAGTAGTATGTAGTTTGCTATTCTGAATGGAGCCCTGATAACACATTAATATGTAGCAGTACCTTTCTGACTCCAGGAGGGGGCACTGTAAATGCAGAAGACTGGTCCTGAGATGACAGTGTGGAGTGGAGGGCAATCAGCTTGTATCTAGATGCAAACAAACACAGTGATGAATAAAAAATTACTGGGGGAAAAAGCTTTATGCCATATTCAATCTTCAATCTTCTCTGACTAATATCTAAAGTAAATATCTAAGAAAATGTTCTCACTCTCAGGGCATTCAAAATTAAGATGAGTTTGTTTCTTCATCAGAACAGATTTGGAGAAATGTAGCATTACATCACATGCTCACCAATGGATCCTCTGCAGTGAATGGGTGCCGTCAGAATGAGAGTCCAAACAGCTGATAAAAACATCACAATAATCCACAAGAAATCCACACCACTCCAGTCCATCAGTTAACATCTTGTGAAGCAAAAAGCTGTGTTTGTAAGAAGGTGTTTTAACTTTAAAGTTAAACCATCACTTTTGACCAAAATACCAGACCATAATCCAAAATAACACTTCCTCCAGTGAAAAAGTCCATCCCCTGTTCTCCTCTCATATCAAAATCCACTGAGATATTTGTTTAGACCTGTTTGGACTGTTTTCATTTGTAAACTGTGCTTGATTTGTGATATATGTGCTTGATATATTTCTCTCCTGATTCAGACTAGATGACTTTTTCACTGGAGAAAGGAACATTATGCAATGGTTTGAAATTAAAAATGTCTAAATGATGCAGTGTTACCCACAAACTTACACTCTATTTGTGGCAGCACCCCCCCATATATATATATTTACATATGCAAATTCCTTCTCTGCCAGCAGGAGGCGCTTTTAGAGCGGAGAGATAGCGGTTTCTCTGGTAACGGCTGTATACAACAAAGCAGCGCTCTGCTCACAAACGCTGCTTTATCAGGCATTACATGCAAGATGAAATGAAAATGACATCAAAAACAGTGATATAAAAACACCCACGCCAGGTTTTGATTTTGAAACGTGCAGTGCTCATGTTTATTCAACGAAGTCAAAGCCTTTTGGAAAATCTATTTGAGGCAGCCAACCACAAATAAATAAATGTACGAGGAACACTGTGATGAATTTGTTTCTTACAAACACGCAGCTTTTCACTTCACACTTGACTGGAGTGGTGTGGATTACTTGTGGATTATTGTGATGTTTTTCAAAGTAAAATGTATTATGTTCCCAAATATCATGAATTACCAAGTAATAAGTATCATTAAGGATTTGGGGAGTCGCACCACGTGACATTTTACAAGCAAAAAAAAAAGAAAGGAAAAAAAAAAAAGATTTTTACCCGAAAATATAAATTAACTGAGTGAAATCAACTGAAATTTTTAGAAACTAACTGACCTTGATAGACAGTCATGGGCTCCCTCTCTATGATATAATTTCTTGTTAAATTCTGTATACATTCCCTATAAATATGATGCCAAATTACTTAAGGCTTTCGTTATATGCAGTTTTTTTACTATTATATATAGATAATAATTAAAAGAAATAATAATAAAGGATTGCCAAAATGTTTAATAAGGTTTTAATTTTATAAATGTTATCATTTTAATAAGCAGTTTTGTTAAAATATTTTACATAAATAACAATTAGAAGCAATAATAATAATTCATTTTAGTTTTATTTCTTTATTATACTATAAAGACAGTTGTATCACCCTGACATTTGTAATCTCCCCACACCCTAAAAACATCAAAAATTTATTTTAATTCAATATAAACATGCACATCAAGTGTTTTAATCAAGTAATTGTATGCATGTAACTGCATTTTTTAAATCTATTTTTGAGCAAATGAATAGACACAAATCCAGACAAAAATAATGAGCATAGCCACTGAGCAATTTAATTAAATTATTACTTATTAATTTGTATTAATACCTATATTATTAATACTTAACTTTTGATATTTATTCAAAAAATTACTTTCAAATAATAATTTTGTTTTCTTTTGACCTAAGAGATAAAAAAAGAAAATATTTATATATATATATATATATATATAAGAGAGAGGGAGAGAGAGGGACTTGTGTCTCTTTTGTGGTTTTCGGACCAGAAGTTTGACTGCTATCACATAACACCACACTTATTAGGATGAACACCATTAAAACAAGGTATATGTTTTTCCACATAAACTGTTTCATAAGTTATCTTCCTGAGATCTGACCTTGGCTCCCGGTCCGTCCTCGCTCCCCAGCTCCTGCGACACCCTGCTGGCCAGACTCATGGCTGAAATCCTTCTGGGCTGCGTCACCACCACATTGCAAGGCTGCGCGGCCTCCCCATTAGCCAGGAGCTCCTCCAGGATGAACTGAGGAATCTGTGTGCTCTTCCCGCTTCCCGTCTCCCCAGCGATCACCAGCACACGGTGGCGCCGCAGAGCCTCGAGCACCTGCTGTCGGTGCTGGAAAACAGGCAGCTGCTCCCTCTCAGCCAGCAGCCTGCGAGCCAGAGCCGAGCTCCGCAGTTTGAGGAGCAGCCTCCGGGAGGCCTCCTCCGCCTCGAGGCCTCCTCCGCGCTGGGGCTCGTGGTCCTCCTGCATGTCCAGGTTCTCCCAGGAGTCCTCCGCTTCGGCGTCCTGAAGACGTTCCTGTGGCTCGGCCTGCGGTTGGAGGGTCTGCTGCTGTTTGAGGCGGGCAAGCAGACGTGCGATGAACTGGTCACGTGGTTTGTTGATGGCGGAGCGGGTTTGCTCCTCTTCTTTTTGATCGCCATCTTGCCACTCAAGCCACACGTCCCGGTAGGTGGGCGGCAGAAGCTGATGCACCGACTAATGGAGATCAAAGGAGGGATAAAATGAATGAAATACATAAACTGTATGTTTAATATGTGAATGTAGTGTTTTGAAACTCGCCTGTCCTTTGACTAGGTTATAAAGAGCAAGCGTGGCTCCTAAGTGCTGGGCCTGCATGCCGTCTTCAGTCAGGATAGTGGGACAAACCTCCAAAACATCATTAGGCCTCTGAATACGAACTCTGACAGGAATGACATATAACCAGACACTCAAATCTGCATTCAATATACAATTAGAATCCTGATGCAATGTTAATGCAACATACTTGCATTTCCAGTATCTGTCGACTGCAACTTTCCCGAAGGATGGCGGCGGGCTCTTTGGGAGGTTCTTCCTGCACCAATCAATCAGAAACTGTTTTGGTGACTTGCCAGTCCAGCTCCTTGATGTGTAGTCAAAGTTACGAATGTCTTTGGGCTCTTTCTTCTTTTTCTCTGCTAGAGTATCAACAATGACAAATCAGATTGACACGGTTCAACTGTCAAGACATGAAGAAAAAACATTAATATCTGGCAATGCACTACCTAGGCACAATAACAGCATAAAATACAATTCATTATAAAATAAAATAATAACTAAAATAAACATACAACGAATACACAATAATGTAAAATATGATATGAAATAATGATTAAATTTAATGATAAAAAATATAAACTATCATAAAATAATAAACAAAAAAACATTAAACATCATGACATAGCATAAAATAAAATAACCAAAATAAACTAAAAATAACAACAGAAAAAAACTAACAAAAAATATATATAAAATAACATTGCATAACACAAAATCAAATGTAAAATATCACAATATAACAAAATAAACAGTCTAACATATCACAAAATAAAACAACAACAACAAAAAATACAATGAAATAACAACAATATAAAGTAACAAAATAAAATGATATAGAACTATAATACAAAATATAATAAAAAACAAAACAAATGTTAAAAAAGTTTTATTTGTTTTATACAAATGTAAAAAACAAAACATAAATAACATAAAAATTACATTAAAGCATTAAAATGTAATTAAACATCAAAATAATAACAACAAACACAATAAAATAACAAAATAAAATGAAAAGTAAATAAAATAAAATAAACAAATCATGCAAAATAACAATATACCACAAGCAACATAATAATACAATAAATAAAATAGCATAACATAGCATAAAATAAGCACAATACAATAACAGCATGAAATAACAACATGAACAAAGCAACATAAATATCATAAAATAAAAATCAACATCATTAAAAAATAAATACAATTAAATTAAACAAAAAAAGGATACATTGTAATGATACAATGATACAAAAATAATCGTACCTTTTTCTGCTGGCGGTGTGTCTGCTTGCTCGAAGAGGTTGAAGTTGAGTTCCTCCTTGCCATCAGTGAGTGCAACTGGCTTCTTTTCCTCTTTAGGAGCGTCTTTAACTTTGACAGCGGAGTTAAACACTGGATGACTCTCCAAAGACTTCATTTCTGTAATGTAAACAAACACTGTTGAGAAACAAATGAATGGCAACACTTTCTCAAGTTCTACAATGAACAAATGCCCTGAAAGATAGAAAACACTGCAGAGACCTTGCTGGATGACTCTGATCCGATCTTGTGCCGTCCTCTGCCCTGCTTTGTCTTTCTTGGCTTTAGATTCTGCAGCCATCTCCTTCGCATCATACAGCTGAGCGGCCAGCAGCAGGTATCTGTCATTCTGCAGGAAGAGCATGAGAACTTACGGGAAGCTGCTGACGTAACTGTGACATAATGTGGAAACCAGACTGAGTAAAACTCACAGGATCAAACTTCTCGTCCAGCTCGGGGTTAAACACACTTGCGTCCTTGTTTTCATCTTCTTCACTGCTCTGATCTTCAGACTGTTCAGCGTAGCGCAGTATCCACTCCTTCATACTGCCACCGTTGTCTTTTACAGACGTCTGTCATTAAATAAAATGTTTTTGAGCTTTTTTTAAATCTCAAAAGATTAAATGAATAGTTCACCCTAAAATGAAAATTTGCTGAAAACTTACAGAGTTAGCAGATTTGGAGACTTGCTCACCAGTGGATCCTCTGCAGTGAATGGGTGCCGTCAGAATGAGAGTCCAAACAGCGGATAAAAACACCACAATAATCCACACCACTCCAGTCCATCAATGAATGTCTTGTGAAGCCAAAAGCTGTGTTTGTAAGAAACTTCAAACCATTTCTTCCACATAAAAAATGAATTCGCTATCCATAATATTGCTTTCTCTCATCTGAATCATGAGAGAAATATGCACAGAACAAGCACCGTATACAAGTGAAAACAGTCCAAAATAGATCTTAACAAATATGTTGGTGGATTTTGATGTGTGAGGACAACAGAGGATGGGCTTTTTCACTAGAGGAAGTGTTATTATGGATTATGGATGCATATTTTGGTCAGAAGTTAAAACATCTTAATGATGAATTTGTTTTTTACGAACACAGCTTTTGGCTTCACAAGGTGTTAACTGATGGACTGAAGTGGTGTGGATTATTGTGGTGTTTTTATCAGCTGTTTGGACTCTCGTTCTGACGGCACCCATTCACTGCAGAGGATCCATTGCTGAGCAAATGATGTAACGCTACATTTCTCCAAATCTGTTCTGATGAAGAAACAAACTCTACATCTTGGATGGCCTGAGGGTGAGTACATTGTCAGGAAATGTAATTTCTGGGTGAACTACTCCTTCAAAGAAAATGTGATTCTCACGACACTTTAACACACCTTTGCCTTTGGTTTGTCCTCCTCTTTAGACGCTTCTTTCTTGGTCACCGTTTGTTTCTCGTCCTCTTTAGGAGGCTGGAACTTGGGTCGACTCTTCAGTTTCTCCTCCTGCATCTTTTGGCTGAATCCCTCCGGTAGCTCATCTTTAATTTTTAGCAAAAATCAAAACCAGGGTTTATGTTTAAAGAGCAGTACATAAGTTTGTGATTACAATCTGAACCTTTTACCATCTCTGAGATTCAGACAGAGCCAGTCGAGCGCTGAGGTCAGGTCGCCTCCATACAGCATACTGCTCTTCATGGCCTCCTCGATGTGCTCGGTCTTGAACTGGAACTTCTGCAGAGCTGTATACAGATCCTGCCAAACAATATATATATATATATATATATATGATGGATGTTCTTCAGATAATCTTACATAATAAATAACACAAGATATTATTTCTTTTTTGCAATTCAAGATGAAACCGAGAAGAATTACCAGCAACTTTTTGGAGGTGAGTCTCCCAGATATTGGTCCTTTATCTGCATGTTCTTGTCTGTATTCATTAATTAACTTGATGACCTTCTTCTCCAGTTCTGGTTGGATAACAACCTTCACACATGCAAAAAAACTATTAATATTGTAAGACAAGGCACAGACGCATATTGTCAAAAAAGACGTTGATGCTCAAACAAACATTCAGAATTTGAAATTGGTAGGATTTTTTTTTTTTTATGTTTTAAAAGTTTCAAATTGAATCAAGGAAAATCTTATATGACCTCTTTATTGTGAGACGTACCTTCAGTATTGATTTATCAGACACACTGCTAGTGTCAGTCTGTGCATTAGTGTTAAGACTATATGTTTTGGGAGCTACAAGAAAAAAAAGATCAAATATTAAAGGCATTTGCAGACAAACTGTCAAGACGTGAAACATATTCTAAAACTAGGCAAAAATTACTGCATAATAACCTACTGATTATTACATACCACTGTGCATCTAAATTCAAATAAGTAGAAATTCAATCACATTTTGAATCATATATTGTCCTGTTTAATCAATTACATTATTAAAATGAAGTCTGACCTCTGGGTTTGTTTTCCTTCATGGTTGATTTGTCATTATTTGGTCTCTGCTGCAGTTTGTTGCCGGCGGATTCAGTTGCTGCTGCATTGGTTGCATTCTCAGCAGCAGCAGCAGCCGGCTGCACACTCGCGGGAGCTGCTGCTGACCTCTTCTTCTTACCACCCATTGCGGAAACAAGTGTGTGTTACTGATCAATACACAACATTACCCACATTTCTATGAACAAAAAAAATGTACAGCTGGAAAATGGTAAAGAAGACGCTGCTGTCAGCCAGCTAAGCCAACGCCGTTACAGTTCGTGTGAAGACGGAAACTAGCGAAGCCTGTTTTCAAAATAAAAGTTTTTTTTTCAAAAGATTTTTGGAACTTTATGCATGAGCGGTGTTTCGTATAGTGTTATGTTTACGTAAATAATGTGTTAATTAATATATAATAACTTTGTCCGTCGGTTTAAGATTTGTTTTGGAAATGACATTAGGTTGTTAAAGCGATTTCTTTATCCAATATGTATACAAAATATTTTTTTTAATTATTAAAAATTTGTGAACCCATCCGTTCGTCTTGCACAAAAAGTAAATGTACAAACATCTAATAAATAACAATAAACAACAACAAAGCTTTTTTTTTTTTTTTACTAAAAATACATTATTATGCATTGTTTAACCCTGCTAAAATAAAACGAATTCAATGTCAAATTCCTTAATTAATTTTTTTATTTTGATTTATTTATTTAGAAAAGTCTTTTGTTGCGTGTCTTTCACCGCGGCTCGCTTCGCACGTGTGACCCGTGGCGTGTCGTTTCCGGCCCGCGGCCTGCGCGTCGCTCTGTGGGAGCGGAGTCTGTGTGCAGCCATGGCGGACGCCTTTGGAGAAGATTTGTTCAGCGTGTTTGATGAAGAACAGGCCGGTTCTAGCAAAAAAGACACTCCAAAGTCCGCAGCTCAGGCAGGGTAGGTGAACGAACTATGGTATGGTTGTTTTGAGTAACTAATCTCTAGACAGGCCTACTGTAACGTTACTATTTGGCTGGTCGTATTGAACACGTGACGCGCACGCATAGATACATAGAAACTCAGTTAACTCACAGTATCAGCCCTTTACACTTCTAATCCAGCTTTCGGCGTTTCGTGTTTGGACAGTCTCTCGCTGTTATTTGTAATGCAGCGGTTTTACGTAATTACGTTTGTGTGCGTTTTGTAGTGAAGGAGCTTGCCTCTTCAAATCTCCTAGACTTGTTTGTGACCCTGGACCACAAGACCAGTCGTAAGGGTCCATTTTTTGAAATTGAGATTTATTTATCATCTGAAAGCTGAATAAATAATCTTTCCAATGATGTATGGTTTGTTAGGACAATATTTGGCCGAGATACAACTGTTTGAAAATCTGGAATCTGGGGGTGCTAAAAAATATATATATATTGATAAAATCACCTTTAAAGTTGTCCAAATGAAGTTCTTAGCTATGCATGTTACTAATCAAAAATTAAGTTTTGATATATTTGCGGTAGGAAATTAACAAAATATCTTTATGGAACATGATTTTTACTTAATATCCTAATTATTTTTGGCTTAAAAGAAAAATCAATCATTTTGACCCACACAGTGTATTGCTGGCTATTGCTACAAATATACCCCAGCGACTTAAGACTGGTTTTGTCGTCTAGGGTCACATATGTTCAAACACAACTGCTCAACTGTCAAGACACTCCAATGTAAACACACTGTCTGTCTGTCTGTCTGTCTGTCTGTCTGTCTGTCTGTCTGTCTCATGTTGTGACCCAGTCTTCCTTTCTCAGGTGGTTCTTCCTGCAGACGAGGAATACACTCCACTGAAACCACGCGTTGGAAAAGCAGCTAAGGTAATCTAATAAACCTCACTGAACATCCTCAGACAACATCGATGCTTTGCCTTTGTTTAAACAAGTTTTGCTTTCCTAATGCAGGAGTACCCGTTCATACTCGACCCTTTCCAGCGTGAGGCCATCCTGTGCATCGATAACAACCAGTCTGTGCTTGTGTCGGCCCACACATCGGCAGGAAAGACCGTGTGTGCGGAGTGAGTGTACATTAGACCAAAATATTGTCTGTGTGGAGTTTTAAAAATCAGTTCCTTAGATCTAAGTGTGTTTCCTTCTGCACACAGGTATGCCATTGCTCTGGCTCTCCGAGAAAAGCAGCGAGTGATCTTCACAAGCCCCATCAAAGCTCTGAGCAATCAGAAGTACAGAGAGATGTACGAAGAGTTCCAGGATGTGGGTCTGATGACCGGTGACGTCACCATTAACCCCACGGCTTCCTGCCTGGTTATGACCACCGAGGTGAGACAGCGGCCCGTTGTCTGCTGGAACACCAACCACTTGTTCTTTAGTTATTTATTGCTTTGTTGGGGTGTTTTCTTTCAGATTTTGAGGAGCATGCTGTACAGAGGGTCAGAGGTTATGAGGGAGGTGGCGTGGGTCATCTTTGATGAGATCCATTACATGAGAGACTCAGGTGGGTTGTATTTAACGTTTCATCGGCATAAGTTTCAAGTGCTTAATCCTGTTTCATACACACACTTCAGTAATTTATGGGAGTGACAACCACATTCTACAACCGAAAATCAGATAGCGATAACCGCATTTGCAGAAATTCTACACAGTGTGTACAGAACTGAATGGAACAACTCGTTGTTAATGATGTATTTAAAGGGATAGTTCGCCCAAAATTTCTGGGCGAATTATCCCTTTAAATACTTATCAGAGTTGTCTGTTTTCTGTATATGTGGTGCAAGAAATCACAGTGAATCTGTTACGATTTGACTCATTAGTGTTGCCAGATCTTGCTAAAAAAAACAACAACAAATAAGATCAAGCCCATAATATACTTAAATGTTCTACTTTATTGACTCCATAAACTGAATCGCTTTATGAGCCAAAAGATGCTTAAAAAGTGTTGCTTCTAAGTGAAGATGGCAGCCCTTCAAAGAGCACACTGCCAAGCGGCCTTCCAAACAGAAACAAAATGATGACAGCTCTGTTTGTGTGCTGTAATATTACTTTGGTCAATAATGGCAGAGACCAAACACTGAAGATGGAAAAACTCTGCTGTGGTTACAATGGTGTCAGTCATCGCAGACCGTTTCGAGAGCGAGTTCTGCTCTGTACACACACAAAACTGCAATTCAGGAGATACACTCCCATATATAAATGTGGTTGTCACTCCTAAAACTTCACAGTGTGTGTGTGTATGTGGCCATTATGACATGCATATACGTTTTTTGCATGTTAGCTGTGTCATTGAGTTCGTTTTTCTGGGTCACATGACCTGCAGAGCGTGGAGTGGTCTGGGAGGAAACCATCATCCTTCTGCCGGACAACGTGCATCATGTCTTCCTGTCTGCCACCATTCCCAACGCTCGACAGTTTGCCGAGTGGATTTGTCACCTTCACAAACAGGTGGATCATCACTCTAGCAAACTCTCTTAGAACACTTAAGTAACCACCCAACAACAGCCTAGAATGCCTTCTCAAAAATACTAACCTCTACTTTTACCAACACACTTTAGCAGTGTTCTAACATCCAGTTTTTTAAATGGAAATAAGTACTAAAATTACTAAATCTGAAATAAAAATAAATTGCAGCTAAATAGAAATGTAAAACAGAAACTAATGAAAATTTGTCAAATGCACATAACAAAAGCTGCTTGTTTACTTGCAGCCCTGCCACGTGGTGTACACCGACTACCGCCCCACTCCACTGCAGCACTACGTCTTTCCAGCAGGGGGCGATGGACTCCACCTTGTCGTGGATGAGAACGTAAGTAGCCGAATACTTTGGAAAGCTGCATTAACGCCTTTATTCCGTCATCGGAGATGAATGTTAAACACACTCCAATGATCTTGGACAATGTGTGCCGTCCTCTGTGTTACAGAATGGAATTTGTGTTCTATTATCTGTCATGGGTGTAGTATTGGAACTTGGTTATTTCAAGAGTGGCACGTCTAGATGTAATTCAACACCGATTCTGAAAGCTGGAATATCTGTGTGTGTGTGTGTGTGTGTGTGTGTGTGTGTGTGTTGCATAACTTCCAAGCCACAACCAACGCAACAAGCTGATCAAGTTTAAGAAAATATTCCTAGTATGATTGCAGTTATGTAATCATGTTTTTATGGTTTTTCATGTCAGGGAGAGTTCAGAGAAGACAATTTTAACACAGCAATGCAGGTCCTGAGGGATGCAGGGGACACGGGAGGCAATGCTGGGGGCAAATGGGACCCCAAAGGCAGAAAGGGTGGAACCAAAGGTTGGTATTCAACAGTCAACATGAAATCAAAATAACACAATCAGTATTTTTTCAAAAATAGTTGCTCTATTCTAGCATCTGACGCCCACTTTCAAGATCCAATCAATTTCTAATGATTAAAATTAAGTTGGACTCATTTTATTATTTTAATTTGTTTTACTATCCAGATTTTGCAAGTACAATGGGTTGTGAACTGTTCCATGTAAATTAAGGTTAAATTGTGTAAGATTGTGCAGTGATGGGCTTTAAACCCTCAGTTCAGTCACTAGTTCAGATAAATGGTTAACCTTAGATGGACTCCCATTGGTTTGCTGTGAATTGTGCATATTGACTGATCCGAATCATCAATATGGAACTGTTTACACCAATGTTAATGTCCATTTTTGCACAAAAAGTCAGCTGTTGATTGTTTGTGCTGATATAAAGCACAAAACAGTCTGAAATGCTGGGAACATGCTTAATGCTGTATTAAAAATTGCTTCGGTTTTGTTTGTTTGATTTTTTTTCTCTTAGGTCCATCCAATGTCTTTAAGATTGTGAAGATGATCATGGAAAGGAACTTCCAGCCGGTGATTATCTTTAGCTTCAGTAAGAAAGAATGTGAGGCCTACGCACTGCAGGTGGCCAAACTGGATTTCAACACAGGTATTAATGTTATAATAATTAATAATGCTCCTTGCTAATTACTCTTGTTCTTACTTGAGTAAAGGCTTTAAATGGATATCTTTCATCTTTCAGTCACACCTGCAAGGACTGATTCTTTGGTTAAACTAATCCTTGGAAAGAGGCAGAATGTAATTTTTCTTCTTTGAAGAAATATTTGCTTGTTTTTGGTTTTAGAACTAAAAGGTTTATCTCACTCTTATTGCTCAAATATGGGAGCAATGATGATTTATCTCTCCTCTTAATTACAGAGAGATTAAATAAAATACAAATCATGGCCAGAAACGTCAGAAAAAGAAATGAGCTCAGCTTTGTGCTGTTTGTGGAGAATTTTTCATATTTGAAACGGTTACT